TACCACAAAGTGTGTCCGTACTGTGTACCGTGTGTGGTGTCTGCAGCGCGGCGCTTGGGTCGTATACGCTGTGTGCTGCTGTGCTGTGGTGCTGCTGCGCTANTCACTATCACTTTGGCCTCACAAGCCAATGGTTTTGAGACTTGAGGATGTCATATATAGTGGTGATACTCCGTACGATCCACTTGGCATAGGCATGAGTGAAACGTTAGGAGGAATGTATGACCGACTGATTAGTGATGGAGACGGCAATCTCATCCCTAACAGTATTGAGTTGACCCAGGAACAAGTAGGACATAGTGCGCACTTTTTAGATATGGAAATAGTCCAAGACTTGGCAGGCTCTCAAGTGCAAATGTATGATAAACGAGACACGATGAGTTCTCTGAAGTCGTATCGCCGATTCCCCCACATTGAGACTAAACTAGTTATCGTTCGAAGTATGCTGTATTACATAGTCAGTTATGTAGATTTGCAGTTCGTTGTACACGTATTGAATATTTTGAGCGAGCGGCAGCTAAGTTGATGAGAGATATGTTAACACACCATTACAAGGTGAGCCCATGGTCGGGAAGCCCCTTTCGCACATTCCCAGTTTGATCCCTATCGCAAGCCTCCCGTTGTGTTCGGAGCAGCCGGCATTCGGATCCCTGCCGTCGTGCCACATAAATAGCCCCTCCGATAGGACTTGAGGCAAGGCGGGAAGGCTGTATCGGGTTTCGTGCAAAGGTGCTCTCCCATATTGACCTCGCGGCTGACACACATCGTCTTCTCTGCTGATCGCTGTGTATCCAGGTGGGTAATTTCTACGTGTTGTATCCTTCGCCGTACTCCGTAACATGTCCACACCACTGCTCCACACGGAGAGACCAACTGCCACTCGCTGCTACTGCTGACCTTCATGACGGATGCTCTTCAACGGGATTACGACATGGTTGCGACAAGATGTCTCGGCAAACCGCTCTGAGGAACACCAGGGAAGTTGACAACAATGGCCACATTGGATGTATATCACTTGAACACTTTCCGTGCTCTACTGATGCTGATTACCAACACCAAACATACCAGGAAACCAGCTATTAATAACACGATACAAACTGAACGCTATGCCCTACCTACCATGCACCAGGTGTACCATTCTCTTCTACTGTAAGCATCACTGATACGCTAGCCCAAAGGGTCAAATAAGTTTTTTTTTCTTGTAGTTGCTAAAAAAACGGCGTAAAACACCTACTGCCCGTGAAATTCAAAAATCTACAGGTTTGAAAAACGAGTGATGTACTGCTGTAGCCTTCTTTCCATCTTCCATGATTTTACATCAATATTATTTATTTCTCCTTAAATTCATAAAACCAGCAAGCTGTCAATAGACACTGCGCCGTGTCCCCTGTTGTGAAGGTTACATCTCACAGTGCACGACACTACGGAGGGATTCTCCCCGATATTTTGTCGTTGACCCAGTAGAGAACAACTACAGGGGATGTATTGTAAAATGTAGATTTACCTATCTATACAGATGTTTTTGTGCTTAGCACTACTAGCTAGCTGGCATCACTGATAAATCATCAGTGTATAGACTTATAAAGACTCGAAATAAGTCCAGTACCCAGCCGGTTTTCCTCCACTTACTGAAAAGACTCCACCACATCCCGTTCGACCGTGGGTATATCTCGAATGGGTAGTCTTTCTGTGCGTGTATTTATTCCTCCTTAAAATGGTGTCGATGAAATAAGAAAGAAAATAAAAAAAAGACACACAAGACAGCTACCAAACTGACTTGTTGAGCCTGTTACCCGCAGGGGAGATGCCCCTATATGCTGTCTGGGAAATCGTAGACATACAGGTAATTTTCTCCGACGCTATGATTCCATTGTTAATCTGTCTCTGACTCTTTTCTAAGATAGCGAAGGACTCATTGTGTCATATATATGTAGGAAAAAAAAAAGTGTGTGTCGTACACCGTCGTGACTCCGTTCTTGTCCTTGCTTCCTTGCGTAAAGCAACTCATACGGTTGGTTATTGGGCGTACGTGATGATTGGTAAGATCGCTACATGATCGCTGGAGGCGAAGGTGTTTTTGCTTGGATAGCGAGACCTTCGCGCGAAGCATGTGTTCGGAGAACCGTTCGGAGTTTGGAGTTTGAGGCGGCGCAATAAAGTTGGTTGGGTTGGCCTCCATCGGCCGGTTTGCTTGTATGACGGAGAATAAGAAGGTGGAATTACTTGAAATTAGTATAGAAATAAAGTTTGTGTATCAAAATCGAAAATAAAACGGCCGATGGAGGACAGGCCTAGTTGGCCCGAACGGTATCAAACGCTGCTAATGTTCTTCCATCCGTCGTGAGAGAGGCACAACGGTATGGAGGCACAACGGTATGGCTCCACGCAAGCACTCTGGATTGAAGCCTTGTAGACTTGGGAGATGATAGTCTCTGTGTGCTGTTCTCGACATGCAGCGCACAGAGTGCATCCCCACAACAAATTTGAATGAAGACGAAACTGCTGTTAGATAATTCGAACACCGACTACAGCAGTTATTACCGATCAGATTTTGGAGCCAAAAAATGTGACCGGTCTGTTCAGCGATTTGGAGGGGGGGGGCACACGGATAGGGTTCTTTTTCGGCTCTTGAGAGTGCCCGCCTGTTCTACTGATTAAACACTACTCTCCAGTTACACACCTGGACACAAGTCCAATAGAGGCGACTATCAGCTCGGTTTTCGGCGGACAAGCAACACCAAAAAACATGTTTTTTTGGGCTCTTTGCTCCACGCCCAAGGCGACCTTTGTTCCTCTCGAAAAAGCGAGCTTACAGCCCTCTACCTTGGGTTTACAGCTATACCACACAACAAACCGCATCCGACTCGCATCAGCGAACCACGTGATCTACATGTCTGAAAACGGCCCCTCCAGTGGGGCTGCAGCGCCCACACCAGCAGACACTCCAAAAAACAAATCGAGGTCCGCTCCGTTAGGCAGCAGGAGGCGCGCTGCGCGAAAGCTGAATCAAGACAAAACGAGGTTTGAAGAGAGGACGGGGCAGTGTATGGTTGCCGCGTCAGCAGAAGATAACACGCGGCGCGCTATTGAACGCGGCAGCCTCACCGTCGTAGAGAGAACGCTGGAGGAAACGAAGGAGGAGTTGGTCAAAAGTAGAAAAATGCGGAAGAGAGCCAGACAGGCTAGCTGCAGCATGGCGATGGAGTCAGCGCGCGAGAAAGACGAGGAGCTTAAGTGGGAGTGGGCACGGAGACAGCAGGCCGAGCAAAAGAACCAACAGGCTAAGCGAGAGAAGGAGGCGGCGGCGGCGGGACGGCGCCAGGCGGAAGAGAGAGTCCGCGCCATGTCGAGGGAGCTGACCGGTCTAAAAGACTCGGTGAAATCGCTCCGCAATACCAACGCCACCCTCTTGGAGGATGCCGGGATACCAATCGTCGCCGACGATCCGCACCCGGAGAAGGACAGCACCCGCAGCCTCGAGGACGAACTCTTGCTGCTCGGGTGTGGCATGAGGCATGTGGTCTAGCGTGGGACCGCGAAAAGGTGTTGTGCTGTGTCCCACAGCAGGGCACATCACAGCACACACACGAGCGGCGCCCTCGCGCGTGCGCGTCAGGTGTTTTTAGGGAGCTTTCGGACCGTTCCGTGCAATTTTATTGGTCAGTCGATTTTCCATCAGGATGATCCGAGGTCATTTTTCAATTTTTTTCCCTAGATACAGGTAAACGATCGTTCTAATGCTTTCCGGATTGATTGTATTGCAAACTATATCTGTATGTAGATTCGTCCTCACAATATATGAGAAGCACGCTCGACAACAAAGGGGATTCGCGCGATATTTCTCCCATTTCACGGAGGGGGGGGAGGACAACTCACCACAACGGACGTGACACGCTCACACGCTCACACGCTCACACATGATTTCCCTAGCCTGCAGAAATCACTCCTAAGCATCAACGGCAGCTCTGCCACTTCCAATAAGCGAACAGCTATCGCTTACTACGCGTGACATGTGTCGTCGATCTATGTACTACGTAGTTTGTGTGCAGCTAAGCTCGCCTTTGAAAGCGAGCCTGTTTGGATGATTGGAGGCTCTTCATGATGCAGATCAGCCTGTATGCACATAGTCTAGCTCAGCAGTCAATAACACATGATTCGTTTTTCAGAAGACGCCTGAATACCTGGCCCGCTGTTTCTCGCTTCAATGAGGCATCTGATAAGTCCCGTCATTCGGTTCAACGAGGCATTTGACCGACAACGATATTTTTCTCGGTTCAAGTCCCCGACCACGTATCAACCATGCGCGCCCAGCCCTCTCGTACCCACTTGCCCACCTGCTAACAATTTTCACAGCCTCAGCGGACCACATCGTCAATCTGCACTGAAATCGATTTGACAACGTAAAAATAAAACAAACAGGTGAGTGAGGCAGGTGGTGCGAGAATACAGAATAGAGGAGCACCACAGAGAAAGTGACGGGATCATCCACTAGACTACTAACTGTGAACGAGAGGGAACACTGTAAAGGAGAGGGAACAAGCGATGGTCGATGCCTCCGGACGTCGTATCCCGGCTGTAGTAATCTAGACCTCCTGGAGCTCAGTGCTCGTACCCCCGACTGCACGTAGAGACATTCTACTGCGGCAAATCAATGCTCATCAAAACTCGCGGTAAGGAAGAGGAAGTTGCACGGAGATTCCCCTCTTGCACGAGTGCCACAGCCACGAGCAATCAATCAATTGTGAAATATCGTCGGGGGTAGGCAACCACTGCGTCGTGGGTCATCANGCCAGGGTGACGAAGAGGAAGTTGCACGGAGATTCCCCTCTTGCACGAGTGCCACAGCCACGGCCAATCAATCAATTGTTAAATATCGCCGGGGGTAGGCAACCACTGCGTTGTAGTTCGTCGTCTAGGTAGCGCTTGGACCTGTTGTAGCTCACGGCATTGACCTCGCCGAGTCTGCCCTCGTCGGCTGTCTGTGCAAGTAACTAACTTCTGCTGCGCCCGCTTTCTCCGTGCATTGCTCGATCTGTTTTCTCTTGTTCTCTGCAGATACGTGTGACACATTTCGCGAGAAAACAAGTACGCTTCTCTCTTTGCGAACATTATCATCATCGCGGCGTTGGCGGTAAGCGCCTTCTCCGTATCATCCCCAAGACAAGAGGTGTCCTCTTGGTGAGTCACAGTGGCTGGGGTTAGACAGTCAAGCCGACCCGCCCGTCTTCACTTCAAGCCTAGATTTTGCCGAATATACATCTCTCGCGCGCGTAGCTTGAGACAAATGCGATTCGTTGTCTTGGATGATTGTGGGATCGTTGCCCTTGTTGTTGTTGTTGTTGTTGTTGTTGTTGTCTTCACATTACAAACCATCCCGGTCTCTCTATCCAGTACCTCCTTCTGTCTCAATCTCTCCGTACTAATCCAGCACTTGACTCGGTCAATTTCCGTGGTGACAGGCTAACGTACCTAGAAAAGGTATACCAAAATAAAATGGACCCCAAGGGTTAGCAGAGCGATAAAATACAAGAAAACAAAAGAATCAGAAAAAAATAAATAAATAAATAGTAGAACGTGCGCACCACCAGCCTGGGGGGTAGCCTTCCGGAAGGACCCCAAGGGTCAACAGTACGTGCCAGTAAAAAAACAAAACAAAAACGAAATAAACCAAAGACAGACGAGGACATAAAAGAAACTCGCACAGAGACAGGGATATCCGTCGAGACAGTCTGAACGCGACAGCAAACGGGGGAGAGGGCAACAGAAAAACCTTGGTGTCCTTCAATGGTACAAGCAGGGTGCTTAATCGAAAACTGCTATTCGCACCGTTTAGACTACTGTCGATTGTAGCCCAATCAATGGCGAGGATCATCAGGTCGGATTAATGACAGTAAAGGAAATTGAGAACCGTCATGACCGTGTGCTGCATGTATTTTTCCGTTAGTACTTCGTCCCATATACTATCAGCGCTCGCAGTATCAACCCTCCGTGTGGTAGGAGCACTCTTGTTCCGGGGTCTCACACGGACGGTTCCTCGGAGGGTGCATGACGTCAGCGTTAGGGCAATATGGGCCCACCAATCCTCTCCCTCCTGTCAACAACAGCTGCAACTCGAAATAGGTGTACCTCACGTAGAAGCACTGCTAACGCGGCGTCCCGGCGACATTCGAACGTGTAACATTGTCTTCTCGGCGCTTGAGGGCACGCCAACAGACCAATAGACCACGCCAACGAACCGCGGCGGCAGTGCGAGTAGAACCACGTGCGCAGAGAAGCCCAAGTAGAACCCAGGTCACAGCAGCAACGCACAACCTTCTCGTGTATCCATCAACGAATTTTGTACAATCTTGTTACCCCCACCATTGCGCCGCCCGTCGAACATACAGGCGTAATGATTCCTTCGTGGACAAGGTGTTCCTGTTCGCGACCACGGTCGGTACCGGGGACCCCTCCCCTACCCCGCCGCTGTCGCGCATCCCGTCGGCCGAGGATTACCCCCCCGTATTACGACCGACCATCATCCCGCACCTGTGGCGCGTGGAGGATGCGGCGACTGCTGCGGCCGAAGAGCAACAGCGGCCGCGCGAAAGCTGGCTGAAGAGCATCGTCGCCACCATCATGGTGGCCGTTCGCTTCCTGGTTGGCCCCAACGGCCAGAGGGCGAGGCAGGGATGCCGGGGCGACGACGACGACGACGACAACCACGCCCCCGCCCAACGCGCTACGTGGCGGGAGCGAGCCGCAGCTGCCGCTCGTAGGTTTCTGCGCTCAGCGAGAAACAAGATCAAAAACGCCAAGGACCGCCTCCTCGCCATGTTCGACATCTCCGTCGCGAAGAGAACCGCTCGACTGTTGGACCTGGCGCGCAAGATCAACGTGCAGGACATGCCGCGCCGGGCGGGGTTCAGACGCCAAGGCAGCGATGAGCTCTTTGAGGTCGATCGTAGCCGCCTGGGAGTGAGCGATGCCGTCGCCGCCGCTGTGAAGGAGATTTGCACCAAGTTGGCGGCGGTATTCCCTGTCATCGGGTATAACCAGGTACGCGGGGTGCCGTAGGACTGTTCTGGCCCGGATCCTTGCCCGACCGTTGGCGCGAGATGGCTGTCCGGGTGGCTGCGGAATCATGTAGTTTCTTGCGGTTCGACATATCTGTGGCACAAGAGGATCTTGTTCCCCGATCGGTGCTCTCTGTTGCTTGGTGGATTTCCAAAGCGTTTACTTTCTCTGCCCGCTACTACCCTATCCTACAACAGCTCATGTTGCAGTGTATCTGCCGCGGGTAGAGCCAGCATTTATCGGCGTGTTCGTTCAACTGATCCTGACCGTACCAACACCGCCCCCGCCTTAACACCGCGCCCCAGGGCTTCGACGCCTCCTGTAAGGAGATCTTCATCTGTGTGCGCGGAAACCTGGGTGCGGCCGCCGCCGTTTTCACCAAATGGGCCGTTCCCTTGGCCTGGATGATGATGAACCCATACAGGCACG